AAAAAAAAAAAAAAAAAAAAAAAAAAAAAAAAAAAAAAAAAAAAACAACAACTTTGTGCACAATCGTGTGGGTGAAAACGCACAAAAGTAAAAACGAAAGAAAGAAAAAAAACACAAAGAATAGCACACAGGCGGGGTCATTACCTGAGGCACGCGGCTGTGCAGTATCCGACACTCGGTTGGAAAATATACAAACAGTAATCGGCCGATGCACACAGACGTAACGAGCGAGACGCCCGCACAAGAAAAAAAATTTCGCACAGACTTTCTCTCGTGTGCACATACTCCTAGACGTACGCTCGTACGCGATCCAATTTGAAAAGTCGCGCAGGTTGATCCCTGGGATTGCTCGGGAAACGATTACTGGCCCTGCTATATTTATTGTTTCGCTCGACTGGTATGGGGAAAACAATTTTTGCAAGGAGGAGCAATGTCTGCTTGATTTATTCCCGGGTGATCGAGGGACAGGATGCGATTTGTTGTTTTGCGTTTTCCGGGGTCATGGAGAGTCGAGTGGTGAAAATCGACGATACTTACTACTGTTTGGCGTGATTTTGAAAAAAAAAAAAATGCCAATTGACTAACATGTCTAACAAAACAGTGACCTCATCCATTGGCAATCGGAAATCTCTAGTGACAAAGCTACACGTAGTTTCGCAAAGTCAAATTGACGATGGTTACAAGTTGTCGACTGATCCAATGACATTGTCAATTGCATGTCATCAGAGTTATTTGACAAAGATGTTCCAGATTTCGAATGCAAATTCATAACTAGAGGCACGTGAAGCCAAGATAATTGCGAGATAATTAAGACTCAATGAACAAGAACACCGCGAGGAGCGATAAAAGTGACGTGGAATAATGTAATTCTGTTCTATTTAAGTACACTTTTCTCTTCTCTCGGTACATTCAATTCATCAATATGTAACCAAGGAAATTAGATGTTTTTGTACGTTTACTTGATAGCTACGAGGTACGGTTTTTATACTATTTCCACAAATCGCACCAGTCACAAGGGATTACCAAAGCTCTTTGTTAACACGAAGATTTATAGTACACTGCATGTTTTACGATGTTTTTCATGCAATCATTCGGAACCCATCTCTCGAAAACTTTTGTATTCTTCTTCTTAAAAATATCCTATGTACGAATATTTTCATAAAGAGTCGTCATTTTTCTACACAAACATTATAACTATCGATCGTTACAGTAATCTTATTATCTCAGCACATTCACTGAAACAATAGTATTATGAAGGAATACTACTCAAACCTACAGAAAAAAGAAAGAGAAAGACTATCATCGGTATCAGAATATTTTGATTGTGTCTCGTATATGTGCACTGATTCATCATCCAAAGATCGACAGCACAAGATACTCTCTATCATCGTACGGCTCACGTTCTCCCATGGAATCCATCAAGCAGATAATTTGCAATTCAAAACCTTGAAGTTTGATTTTTCAATTTCAGTAGGTAAGTACAGCTGAACCTATTTTTCATTGCTGAGCATTTTTTCGCAATCAGCACAAAACTACTTCGACTTTCTCTGATCTCAAGGAGAAGAGCAACG